AGGTTACCCGCACCGGTGAAAGCAGCGCCCCAAGCTGCATCGGCGCGCTTTGGGGACCGGTTTCAGCGGCCGCTTTTCACACCTCCCCATTCTAGCCATCCTAATATGGGCCTCCGCCATTTCTCCTTCATACAAATGGGACCACCAAGGGCGGAATCGAACCTGCGGCCTTCGGGGCAGCAGCCGAGCACCGTAGCAACTGTTACTGTGATTGACGAGAAAGAAACCCAGGAGTGTGTTAATTCGACGGGTACACCTGGCTCACAAGGCGACACCGTGTTCTGCAAACCTTGCGGGATATTCATGCCATTGCTCAAACATGGGCGCCTCTGTGCGATCATAAAAAACAGTTTTTGTGGTTCCCATCGTAGATACAGGTCGCGCACGCCTTCGTTTGAAATCTTTAGAAGCTTTTTTGAATCAATAATGCAAATATTTACGATTTCATAGGCCTAAAACAGTGCCCCACTTGTCTATTTTTGGCCCCTAAAACCCGCCTTTTTAAGTGCCTAAGAATCCACCCTCAAGTTATGACTTCTGAAGCACTATGCATATTTCGCCACGAGTTTACTTTAATAAATTTTATTTTTAGATGTATATGTAGTTTACCAATTTAAAACTAAAGTTTACCAAAGTGCTAGAATCCTGATACATAATTATAACTTTTGCCCATAAACTGCAAACGTCTTTCTTAAAGGTGTTAACCTACCTTAAGACAGCGGGACGCCTGTAATATAGGAGTGCATATGTAATGTTTACAAAATTACATAGCCAGCACTGCAATCCCAATTGACCTTTCTTCAACATTGCGCCGGCATATGGTCTTTCTTCAAAGCAGTTTCGAGACCTGGGAGGGCTTTGTTGTAGAACACGTCATTGCCATGCAGAATGCTTCAGCTAGATTCCAACTTGGATCCAGATGTTTATTTTTTACACTGGCCCGGACAAAGTCGCCAATGTGTGTTTTTCCGAAACGCTTCTGGACCTATACTACCACTGCCTGCTCTCGCCGTTGCTAGTCAGATATGCATTGTTAATCTCTTGTGGTACGTGATTGCGTGCCGCGGCTTGCCACGGCCAATGGTATGTGGGTATGTGCCACAGTCTCCTGGAGGAAACTAACTAACGAAGTACGCTATATATACAATATTTTCATGTTATACATGGTATGACCAGCCACATGTAATAATAAAACTCTCATACCCTGTCATGATAGGTTTGTCTACCCAAAGCTAAAGGGGCCATGACACCCAATTTTCCATCATAGTTTAGCTTTCGTGGGTTATTAATTTATCATTCACAATTGGGCTGGTGTAATGCCAGCCCAATTGGTCGCGTAATTATTTTTAATTGAATATTATTACAAATATCTGACTAGCCTGTTAATCGGGCAGCACAGGTGTACTCGCGTGCCGTAACGTAGAAAGCAGCTGGCCGTGAGAGTGTCTGCATTTTGGCGAACCATAGTGTTGTGTTGTCTGCTGTGCGTCTAATTGAGATGTTTGACCTTTGTAATGCTGGGCACTGAAATCGAACAATTGTTAGCGGCTGCAAGTTGCTAGAAAACGACGGCACTGCTCCGTGCTGCACGTGACGTCCCATGCACCATGACAATATAGCGGTATCTGATGGATGACGGCTGTCGTGGCCATTGACGTCTGCGACTGGTCTTGCACTGAAATGTTCTTTGACGACCTACGTTCACATCTGTATTGGCCTAAGAGACCAATTGCTTCTAGTTTTTGCTAAAAACCACTAATCGTTGGGTGAACATCAAAAGCGCCCTCGACAATGTTTGCCATAAAGGAGTACTACAAAATCTCGTAGATACCGGCTGCGGGTCCAAGATTTATGACTATGTTCGAAGCTTCTTCACCGGTCTTATGGTCACGGTGGGGAATTGCAACATACAGAGCGAAAAATTTGAGCTGCCGGACAGGAATGCACCTAAAGGCACTGTTGTGTCACCACTCCTTTTTGACGTAGCACTCCTTAAGCCCCCCGGCTTCTAGAAAAAAACAGGGCCTACGTCACGCCATCTACGTAGACAATTTTACGTTTTGGAAGCGCGACAAGAGCACTGGAGAGCAAGAAAGTTGCCTTCAGGAGGCAGTCAATGTTATAGAGAACTACCTCGAAAGCTGCGGCTTCTATTGTGCACCTGAAAAATCGGAATTACTGGTACTCAAGGCCGACACGCGAGGAAGACCTCCAACGTGCGTAGCGCCAGACACATGCATCATCCTTCACGGGGTCCAAATACCAAAGGTCACGACGCTTCGCGTGCTCGGCTTGCACCTGCACCACGACGGATCAGGGGCCACCATTCTTCCTAGACTTCAACTAACAGTCTTTCAGCTCACGCACCTTCTAAGGAGAGTCGCAAACCGATGCTGTGGCCTGAAGGAAAACGATACCCTGAGAGTTGTGCAGGCTCTTCTAACAAGTCGAATGAGCAATGTAACCCCGTACCTCACTCTCAAGAACTTCAGAAGCTGAATGTGCTCATCCGCAAAGCGTAGGGCTACCTCCAGTGGCGTCGACAATCATACTCCTAAGAATGGGTATACACAACACCTGGCAAAAGCTGGTAGAAACCCAACGGAACAGCCAACTCGAGAGACTTAAGCCTACGTCGACGGGCAGATCGGTTCTTGCGCGCTTGGGCTACAGCGAGAGCTATATCTGTGAGGCAGACTGCAAAACAAAGATGCCGCCATACCTGCGAGAATCATTCAGTATCGCCCAAGTACCACATCACATGCATCCCGAGTTCCATCGGGAAAGACAAATCGCTCGTGTCGACACCATCCGCAGAAGACACCAGCAGGATCCAGACGCTCGCTGAGTCGACGCGGCTAAATACCCGGGCGAAAAAACGCCTACGCTTTACGTGTGGTCGGCGCAAAAGGACAAGAAGCGGCATCCGCAACCCTTCGGGTGCGGAGCTCTGAGTCTTCCGAAGAAGCAGCGATCGTCTTTGCCACTACGACTGGTGAGCACAAGGTCGTAGTTTTCACAGATTCCCAATCCGCTGTCCGCAATTACACGCGAGGCCGAATCTCCGCCGAAGCTCTCAAAATTCTGAGAAAGAGCCGAACTCGATCCACTTTCTTCCACCTGCGTGGTATGGGTGCCGGGGCACGAGGGGCTCGATGCAAATGAAGCGGCTCATGCCACGGGCCGCGGTCACGTCAACCGGCCGTTCCTCAGCGCCTCGCTTGACCCACGGTTAGCCAGCACTGCACAAGAAGTGGAGACCGTACCACCGACATACAATGCCATCCCACAACAGTGCCGTCTAGTTCGCAGGATGTACCCGCCACCTCACCCCAAGCTGACTAAAGAAGAGGGCACAGCGTTTCGGAGACTTCAAGCTAACACCTATACACACGGCACCCTATGCATAGAGTCTACCCGCTATACGCCAACAACTGCCCAATATGCGAGGCGCCAGACACACTAGCCCACCTACTACTCAAGTGCCCGTGGCGCCACGAAGATGCGAATACCAAGCCCGCAACGTCTGCACGAATCAACCCCCTAGCCGAGATGTGGGAGCCCAAGATTGACGCACGTGACCTAGATGACCAACGAGGACTTGTCGGCAGGGCCTGGGAGGCGATTGCGGCCAGATGATTCCAGGAATAAGGGACCCTCCCACCTCGAGTGACCTCGAGCTCACAAACTCGGGAACACAGTTTCGAAAAACAAATGTCATCATCGTTGGGTGACCGTGTCACGGCCTTTTTACGGAGGCCATCATGAGAGCACCAGACATACACGTCTAGAAGGATGAATAAATGCGTAGATAAAAACGCTCAAGGTACCTGCAGTTCGCAAAGAAACCCGTCGCATTTAAACGTGTGCTAGCGTTTACACGAGGCTAAAGTTTTGAACTCTGCTGCTACAAAATTTAGAGAATCCATATGTCAACAGCATGAATTTTAAAATTTCGTGAAGTCATCCTATGATTAATGATTCATTCTTTCTGGTATTCAATAAGACTAATACACTGTGCTTGAATGAGCGCAACTTTTCTTGTGTGGATGGTATATCCGCATGACTACAAGGCTCTTGGGCTGTCTGTTCTAAATGAAGTAAAACATGTCTTTTCTAGGTGATGCTCTTTTTGCTGAGACGCTTAAGCTTCTGCAAATTTTATGATTGCTTCTGAAGACGTTAGCTTTTCGAACGTGTATTTCAACACATAAAAGGTAACCCCATCCATCTATCTCATTTACATTATCTTCTATTAGTATAATTACAATGCGGCAAAGGGCAGCGTTTCTAATGCTACGTTACTGGATAATAGCTGTAAACACACTGAAGTTCATTTGGCTTTATTCGGCTAATACTTGAACATGCCCACTCTCCTCAGAAATTGCTATGTCCTTTTCCCAGCTCTAAGTGGGTCGAAAATCTCGTATGCCAGTTCGCGCGGTATTTCTGCGCAAGCTTATAAAGAATAAAATGTTTCTTTGAGATATTCTTATTATCGTAATCGAAAAGTCGAGACAACTAGTTCAGTTTTTTCAAAAGCATTTCACAGAAAATTTTGTTCAATCTGTTTTCGGCAATATTTGAAGCAGTATACCCTTTACGCTTATGGTATACTGAAGCAGTATACCCTAAGCAGTACGGCAGCGTACCCTTTTTCAAGGACTCGAAATTGTACGGCTCGAGGCCTGTGCAGCAGTTGTCAGCCTCCTATTTAGCGCAACCTTAGGGGCTAATAGATAATATTTGAAGCGGATTGTTAATATCCTCTCGTCATACAGGTGCGACGCATACCCGCATTCATTCCAAGTTTGCTCGGCGCTTGGTTTTGAACGTGGTTTCATCTGACCGATGCACTATACATACTACACCAGAAACTGTCAGATGAGCCTCAGGGTGAATTAAATTAGGCAAAGAAAAAAGGAAGAATACCCCACCCTGGTTATATTTATAAAGTCTTCTCATGGAATCAAAGATAGTGAACTTTCTGTTGTACTTACTAATTGCTTCAGAATGCTACAGTGACGAGAATGTGATTAGGAACACCTCGTGGTAACCTGTGCGCAATTTTTCCCCGGGTCACATGAAAATACTGCGATACTGAAAAAAAATATATACCAGCATCTCATTCTGTAAGGCCTCCATTCTAATGAAACAGCTTCATGAACGTAAATTAGAGCGAGGTGTGAAAAGCAGTGTCTCCAAAAGAGAGTCATCAATAAAATATGAGAATACAGCGTGGTCTCATTGCTACAAGCAGCGTCGCAAGCAGTATTGATCGCAGATACAGAGCTTTTAGTGAGGCAGTGCTCCGCCTAATTTGCCACTTGTATCACGTGACAAGCGACGACAGGAGACGCCGGGACGCGTTATGACGACAGGATATGCCGACATCCGAAGCGCATAAAGGGTTCAGCGCCTAAAATTACAAAAATTATTGGCATAGACAAGGGCCCCTATTCAGAAAAATGTCTTACGCTGAAATTTCTCGTAAGAAAATATACCAGCCTATGACAATGTGACATGTATTATGAGTGAGGCTGTGTGACCAATGGGAAAACAAAGTTATGAAAACTTGGCTGAAGTAATGTGTTTTTGGCAATACTTTTCTATTGTTCTTGCCAATAGATAATTCCTAGAACAGCAACATAGTGAAAAATTGGGTAACAAATTAGCATTATCCCATTTATTCCACTTTTTGGGGTGGATACAGCAAACACATACATTTGGAAGCTTTTCAGCAAACGCAAGGCATTGTGCTGCGGTCGGGGACACTATGTATTCGGAACTCACACAAAAGGACTTACCTGTTGAAGCCAAAGCAGGAAAAATGGACCCCTGTTCAGCCTGCTGAGGTTTGCGCTGTCAAATCCCGGTCATATCAATACACTCATATCCTCTTGTGTCACGGCCTGGGCCCTTGTTTTATTTCGCTTGAGCTATTTTCAAATGAATCTCAAAAAATTAAGAGAAAAATATCCAGACTGTCATGCGAAGTAACCGTTTCTGCTTGTTTTATACGACATGCTTGTCAGCCACTTAGTTTGGGTTTATATTATAGACAGATTTTCTTCACTGTCAACTGAAAATGAACCTAGCGTGCAGTATTATAAGTTATATCGCCTAATACGAAACATTCATTCTTGCCTAACACCCAGACTACTAGAATTGGTATGCGTTAAGAAAAAAAAACAAGAAAATGACCACTTGTCGCTGTGTTATTTGCTATGACAGATTCCTTTGGCGAAACTGATATGGGTGTAGTGCAAAATAAACAGATCTTCAGTTAACCCCGCCACACTACCAAATGATAAATGCAGCACGGAAGTTTGCTAAAATACCTCAATAAAACGCAAAAAGATCTCCCAAGTACTAGTTTAGAATGCCTGTTGTCATATAATTGGCAAACATCTTCTATGCGCTTCTGTCACAGATTACGAGAACTTAAAGCAACGTTTCACTTTAAAAGCAGATTCAAACAAGGCCTTAGAAAGATAACAGGTAAAAGTAGTTCTATTTCACCTAACTGTTTGTTTGAAATGGCGCATAATGCTTATATTTGAAGAAGCATAGGAGTGTGCATAAATTGCGAATTTCCGTCTGAGTTGGCGTTACACTTCCGCACGAACAGCTACAAAAGCTGAAGTCGTTGACAGATTCCACAGTCATGGGTATGTACACGCCAAAAAAGCAAAAAAAAACATAATAAAGTTGTCGAAAGTCATGTGGTTCCACGCTGTTAGGGTACTGATCTCAAAATTAATTTTATGTAGTGCGGAACGCATTTTGTGGGCGAAAATATCTTATCATTTTTCTTTGACAATCACTATTAGTATATAAATTTATTGTAAATTTTGCTAGAATAGATGCCCACCTATTGCATTTTTCTCTACATAGCGAATGAAAGCATTAAACCGACAGTAAAAAAATGGCCCCGTATCTGCATGTTACACTGCAAATATCGTTGAAAGACGATAATCTCGCGTTTGGAGACAGTGAATAAAGCGTTTGTTTGATGTTCTACGCAAGACAATCGGTGAATACTATTCTGGAAGCGCTGCGTTAGAGTGCCTCGAGCGTGCAGCGGAGGCAAACGAGCGCATCAAGTCAAGTCACACGTAAGACATGAGCTCTATCTGGCAGTTATCTTGATAACGAAGCACGCCGCGTGTGCGCCTGTCTCGGAGGTGATAAGGTATAGAATGCAAGGTGACGTGTAGGTACCACCACCGTGTCATTGTAGCAAAGCGTTGGAAACACTTGTCTTTTCGTGCAAGCGTTGCATGGTCAGTGTAGCGTGATAAACGCCACGGTCCTTATAATTACTTATGTATGCCTTTTCTAATAAAATACACAAGTACAGAATATTGAAGCGTTCTTATGGTGCTTCAGATGTGCGCAATAATCGCTTTTCGATTGACAATCGCACCAGTATGAACGCTGAATCTTGAGCATTCTTGGTGGGCGCTGCGGATGGGGTCGGCCGTTTGGGGTAACGTCTGGTGCCTTTTAAAGTACTGTTAGGGGCGCACAAACAGACAAATGTACGTACACACAGACAGACAGACAGACAGACAGACCGACAGACCAAAAATTTTGCGTCAAAGGTCCCCAAGGAAGGATATCGTCTTTAAAAGTACTTGAGAGTGAAAAGTTTTCTGGTTGCTCCCCACTACTGGTCTTGCAGATCACGGCCACCGTGGGGAGATAACGTACGGCCGAAGCTCACGCGTTCAAGTGAACCTCCAAGATCCCTTGAAGAGAGATAATACGGAGTGGGAAACAACACGGGGCCGAAGGTGGGCACATTGGACAAGCACTGAGTGCCAGTTGATAGTTTTATTGACATCAAATGTTATACACGCCTGTATTCAAATATTTACAGAGGTAATGACCACAGTAGCAGTGAAATCGTGAAAGAGAACCAGTAAAAAAAATTTATTCCGCGTTTTCTAACATTATTTTTTACCGGTATGATTAACCAAGTAGCCTAGTTAGACACAGGTAAGTAATAATCTAGGAACAAAAAGTACGCACCCACAACATAATGAAAAAGAGCAATGCTGATGTAGTCTAATTGTTTTGCAAGTTTTTTCACTAGCCGCTATTATTTGCCATGCGTTCTGCAGTCTCCTCCGGCAGAGCGACGATGTAATTAGCGTCTTGTTATTTTTTGTGCCTCTCCGGGGGTAGTGTTCATTAAACGTTGAATGAAAGTCAACATAATAAAATATGATGTCAGTCAAAAGTTGATACCGTCAAAAAACGCATCGCAAATTCTGGGCGATCTATGTGACACTGTGGTTTCGAACTGCGATTGGACTCACCAAGAATTATTCTCGCAGACTCAGTCATTTGCCGCATCAAGTGGAGATCATAGATCACTTTCATATTCCTAACTTCATGCGTCAACGTCAGCTCAGTTCCTTCCGTTATGTTTTATATTGTTCCCAATTCTTTCTCTGCATGATTCGTAATTTTTTATAGCTTTATTGTACAGAAAAATGGAAAATATGGTGTCTGTTTAGGACGGGTGCGCTATTACTTGATTATTTGAGCATCATTAGACAAACATAGGATGTTTGGCAAGAGACGCTTTCCTCAATCGTTATTCAATGCCATTTCAACAAGAATACACCATAAAGCCAGCGAAACCTCTTAGCGTCACACTTAATAATCAACCACCGGAGCAACGCGCCGCTTATGGAGTGTGCACTTCTAAATAACAACACAATATAAGTGCGCACTAGACAACGCCTATTTCAAAAAAGGAAAACACAGCACACAAACTTTATCAGTATGAAATATAAGCGCGCACTAGACAATGCCCATTTCAAAAACGAAAACACAGCGCTCAAACTTTGTCAGTATGATTGGTCAACCTGAGCCCATTGCTACGAACGGCACTGTAATGGTCGATGGAACACTGAGCTCTCGGATGCACACACCAGGCCTGTAACCATTTTGTACCCTACCGTATCATATTCATCAAGTTCTAGTCTTCACCATCAACCGATGGTGAAAAAGTGTGTTCTGTTATCCGACATTGTGAGTGCCTAAAACACTCGGCTGCTGACCTGCACGTCGTGGAATCCAATCCGAAAGAAGGGTGTCTATGCAGGCTAGTTGGGTTTTATTACAAGTTTTTTTTGTGTGTAGTGCGAGATATGAAAATTATAAAACCGAAGTTGACAGGAAAAAGGTACTATCGCAACTAAGCTTTATTTTGCGTCCATTCACATATAGGGCCAAGAAAACAACGTGTTATCGATGGCACTGCCACATACGAATACAACATAAAACCATATAGTACCGCTTACAGCTCTAATCGTCGAGATTGTCTGTCATAAGAAAGCAGGCAAACAGACGGCTTACTGATGCATCTGCTCCCCAACCTGTTGATGACTTACGCCTCAAGCATTTCGCGCTGTTGTTTTCTTCTATAATTTTTAATGCAATTTTCATACGCGGCGGCACAACAACTACAAAAAAGAATAATAAAGTCGCGGCTGTGACATACGCATATTTAATTAAGGCGACAATCGTTGAGGACCGCGTGCTTATATTTAGGTGTGCGTTAAAGAACCCCTTGTGGTTTAAATTCTCCGAGCCTTCCACTAGGGCGTCTCCCATAATCATTTGGTAGTTTTGTGACGTTAAACACCAACAATTACTATTATAAGTGTATTCGGTTGCTCCACAGATGAAGTAAAAATTATACGGCAGCATGACATGGCTGAGCGAGCCAGCGATGGTGCCCCTTGGGTAGGAATATGCCCTGCACTGGCAATAGCAGATGCGATAAAAATAAGGTGACCAATAGTAATTCTTGCCTCTCATGGCACCAGGGCAACTTCCTTCCTGAAACGTTTTCTTACCAGGGTTCCAGATTGCGACGTGATCTTGCGTTCTAGTTTTTTCCTTCCTCCATGGCTTATTCCGAATATATACGAGCACTGTAGAGGCGAGAAATCGCCATTCCGCAAAACACACTCTATCAAGTTTACTGTTTTAGTGAGCCTGGGAATCAGTGCACATTCAAAACGACATGATGACATTATCTATAAAAATAGCTGAATTTATCCTAGTTCCTGATA